AAGTTTCTCCTTTTTAAGCTAACCCTCCTCTTTCTTTTCTTTCTGGGGAAATAAGTTTTGGAATGTAATTTTGGGGTTATCTCTTTGGGATGAGAGGAAGTAGGCCCAGGGCTGCACAGTTAAAGGTGCTGCTGTCACCACCGCCACCTGTTGCTCTTCGGCTCTTTGCACCAGGGAGAGTGTGAGGTGTTCCCTTTTGGATAAAGGGTCAGTCTTATGTGTACAGATTTGTCACTGTAGAATTTGAAAGGCAACAGAGAAGACTCAGTTGTTCAGAAATTTCACCAGTGCCCCCCGATCTGAAATTTTAGAGCCAGAAGCCAATTTTTTTTGCACTCCTCTCATTATGGCCATTTAACATATAAATATGGTCAGGCACAACACAAAATACATCTACGCCCAAGGATTAGCAATTTATTAATCTGTTTCATGTTTCTTTTTGTAGTGAGAGGCAGACAGAAGGAAGAAAGAGGAGAAAAAGATGCAGAAACAAATGCTCTCTCCTTCCCCGTCTTTAAAAGGTGCTCCTGACTCTGGAAACCGTTACAGCCTACTGAAAGACTCCCGGGAATTCTAGACCTGCTTCCATCACCATCGGGCCCATCGTAAGCCAGCGTCTGCAATGGGCAAGTCAACAAAAATCAGTGCTCAGCAGGAGGGTCAGGGAAGTCTCCTGAACGTATGAATCCAGCAGAGTGTAAGACCACAGTGTGTAGCGGGGCCTGTGACAGACAGGGCTACAGACGCGATGCCGCCCTGAAGGTAGAAGAGTAACAATAAAAACCTTTAAAGTATCGGCCACACTTCACAGTCTCTCATGTTCCTTTTAATGCCAACAATGTGGGCCACAAAGCCCTCTCCCTGCTGCTCCTTGCCATCTCTTCCCTGGTGGGGAGAGAAATAGAAGGAACTAGTCTATGTACACTTAACTTGGTGCTTCCTGAAAGGCACATGGGTGATGACAACATCCTTCCAGGAGGGAAAGGCTTATACAAAGAGTCTTCCAGTTTCTAGAACATACTTCAGCTCTTAAATATGCCACTGTATGACATCTTTTCTCCTTTGTGAAATAATATCAGAAACATGATATTTTAAAGGACACTAAAGACTTCAAGTTGGTGGAGAAAGGTTAGACAAGTATTTCTAGCAGGAGTCCCATCTTCCAGCACCCCACTTTAGCTCTGCTATTTCAAATACAGTAACTGACTGGAGAATAATATAAGCATTTTGGATTATCTTCAAAGAAGCATCAATTTCTTATACCAGCTTATGAAAACAATTAGGACCCTCTCCTAGGGTTGAAACTCATTACCATAGAGCTTTGGGAAAGAATAAGGAATCACTCAGGTCAAGACAGATAATGGGATGACTCCTGAAGACATAGGTCCAAAATTCCAATTTAGAAAAATAGGCTGTAGAGTGAGTGGGATCCAGGTCCCTGAAGCCACATGTGTGTCACCTGCAGTGAGGGCATGCTACAGATACTAAGGAGAACTCCCTTCCCCTGGGATAGATAGTGATGAATAGACAGAGGCCACAATTTACTCCTGTGTCTTGAAAAGGAAGGGGGACAGGTGATACTATGGGGAGTAGGCAGTGTGGTTAGGAGCTCAGAGACCTGTTATGTTCTGCCAGGGAGCTCTGAATTTTTCAAGATAAAAAGACTGGGCTCATGTAACCTCTGCCTTTATCCTTCAAAAGGGAGTTTATAGAGCTATAGTTTTCTACCTTGTGTTTGTAATGCCTCAGGCACCAGTTAGAAATGGTGATCAGCTACCACAAGAAAAACGAACCTGTGGATAGTTAAGTCCGACTTTCTCCACAGTATGACTTGTTTGAGGGTGGAGGTAAGATCCTGGTAATCCTGCTTGGCTCCCGGTAAGCAGAGGAAAGTCTTCTTGTGCAAAATTGGCAGTTAAAGCAGTTTCCGCCATAGTCTGAGGGAAACAGTTTTCTGACTTGACCACTAGTTTAGAAAGTCAAGAAATGTTAAGGATGGCATGGTAGCAAAACTACCCATATGTTTTCCAGAGTGCTTATGGCGCCTATCAAAAGGTAGATTCAAGAATTACACCGAAGACGCATAGAAAGTCATGAGGAGTAGTAAGAACCCTTTGTGTAGCATGGCCCAGCTTAAGCAATAGACTGCAAATGGTGCAAGAGAATGCACCTGTCCCCACTTACATGTTCTGTTTTTTTTCACCATTGCTCTGACATAATCACTATCTAAGTTTGGTCAATTCCCATGTTTTCTGTGAAACTGTACTTCAATCACATAGGTACATAACTTTGAGCAGCATGTAGGATTGCTTGCATGTTTAAAAACTTTTCCAGTTGTATTTTAATGAATAGCTTTAAAGGGAGGTCATATTATAGGAGTATTAGTTGTCCTGTATCTCAATTCAAATTTTCAAATGAAACATGTCCAAGTCAGTGGTTTATAATACACTGTCTTCATTGTTAAATATATGATCTGATATTAAATACTCCCCAATTTTCCACTAAAACAGAAAGGCAGTTAGGTCAACAGTCAATAGAAGAATAAGATTCACAGCATATGTCAGCACTAAAAGACAGCATGGACTATCATTTGAAAACTGATTCTATCACCCACAGAAAGTATCTTGAGACTTAAGTGAAACTTCTTTTGTGGCTCATAATATTTCTGGGTAGCAGATGCTTTCTCAAAAACAGATTTTACTTTTAAAAATATCAAATATAATTAACACCTTCAACATAAAATGAAATCTCTGCTTCCAGATGCATTTCAAGGTGTTGAAATTAATCTATGCAGCCCTCTATGATTAAGAATTTTTTATTGGCTTATGGATTCTACTGCCATCTTTATGTGGCATTCTAAAGAATTGAGAACAAGAGCAGGGCATTTAAACTTAACTGAATTTGAAGAATGCTTATTAAAACAGGTAAATTTTTTAAAAGGTCTTTTGACCTATTACTAACCAACATGGTATAGATGAGTAGGTTAAGAACCAGGTATTATAGAGACTCCTAGCCAGAAACACAGATTAAGTTGAGAGCAAGTATCCTAGACACTGTTTCAGGGTGTTGACAATGGGAAGATGCTCAAAGATATTTAAAATTAAAATTGGTTTTATTAAAAAAGAAACAACAGACTTGAGTGTTGAAAGAAAGGTCATATTTTCTAACAAACATACTCAAAACAAAAAATAATGGGGGTGTTTGATCTCTTTCCTGAAAATATGGGAAATAGGAATCAATAAATCAACTTGTAGTCCCAATTATCCTCTGATTTCAACAAAACATTGTTAAGTAACCTAATAATGCTCCCTTCCATCAGGTCACGAGTATTGAGAAGCACATGTATGCATTTGCACACATATAGACACATATACAGTTACAGCTTTTTAAATGTCAAGAATTAAACATTTACAAAACTTTTCATCACTTATATGCACTAATACCAACCCTGACAGCACAGTTTTCATAAGTGATACCTTTAAAGTCAGTTGTTATCCAAGAAGGCATGCTGGCCACAGCTAAAGGCAAAATTAGATTTGTGTTTGTGGGTGTACAAAAAAAACCCCCCATACACAGGTAACTTTCTTTCTTTTTTTTTTTTGAGTTGGAGTCTCACTCTGTCGCCCAGACTGGAGTGCAGTGGACACTCCCGGCCACTGCAGCCTCAACCTGCTGGGTTCCGGCGATCCTTCTGCCTCAGTCTTCCAAGTAGCCGGAATTGCAGGCATGTGCTATCACGCCCGACTGATTTTTTGATTTATTGTAGAGATGAGGTCTCCCTGCCCAGGTGGGTCTCGAACCCGTGGGTTCAGGCAATCCACTCACCTCAGCCTCCCAAAAGCGTGGGATTACAGGCTGAGCCACCGAGCCCGGCACAGGTAACTTTCAATATGATATTCACTCAAATCAGAAAAATATGTAAATGTTTCAGATGGACTCTCTGAAAGGTATTTAACTGTTTTCCCCATCAATTAGTAAGAAAACATATGGACAGTAGTTGTGCATATGATATCTTAGCCACTATTAAAATGTGAACCTGCTATTTTTAGGATACAAAAACTCAGTAAACTAAGAACTGTTTCTCGGTTGTGAGAGCAAAATATTATTCTAAGATGTCATCTGTGACACAGCACCTTTCTGACTGAATTGACACATCTGGTACATTTCATTAGATGCTGCAAAGTATAACCCTGCCCAGGAGAAGTGTCTAAGAAACTCTTATTCATATGCATATCTTTAGCTTTGCTCTCAAAAGGAGCACACCTCCTAGATTCCGAGTTCTACAGTCTTAGACTGTAAGGGGCTTTCAAAATACTTCCTGAACCCTGTTTTATGAGTGAGGAGGTGACTGGCTCAGTGGCTGCCCTGTGAGCGAGGACTAGAAGCCAGTGCTATGGTGGCCTGTCATACATTGTGGGTCTCACACATGGGGAGGGGAGCATCTGTTTAGATACGGCTTGTTGTTTCTGCTTCTTACTCTCTCTGCTTTTAAATTCCCAGGCCTCACAGCCTCTGAACTCCTGCTTTTTTTTTTTTAATACGTTTCCTGTTTTTGATTTTGCCACCTTTCAAATGGGCCCTACTGAACTTCTAAACCATTACTCGCTCTATCTTGGATGCCTGCTAGGGCACTTAAGTCTTCTAGAAGCCAGAGAGCCAGGCTTGGTCATTGTCTAGCCACCCTACCCTGGCTGAGCCTCACTCTGTGGTGTATAGAAGTTATTCATTTCAAAAACTAGGAAAGTTACAATTTACCTGTCAGTAAACAGAAGATGGTTTATCAACAGACTTTACCTTAATGACTACAAATGTTTACCTCCTGCTTTCCAGAATGCAAAGAAAATCTTGGAAATGTCATAATATCTTACAAACATTTGCAAAACAGATCCTTATTCATCCGGAAAAGAAACAATTGTATTCGTTGTCTCTGTCATAAGAAAAACGTTCGGTGAGAAACATACCAATAGAAGTATACACTTATACGTAAATGAATATGCTAATTAAAAATTGCAGTGGGCACTTTATTAAAAATTTATTTTACAATTTAGCCGTTCAAAACATCTTTATATCAACAAATACAGTGGCTTGACTATTGGAATCATAAGTGATTTATCTTGAAAAGATTATAATATTTTTGAGAAATATTTCTATCAAATTACTGGTTTGTTAGAGGTATTTTGATTTCTCTATTTTTATCCTGGAAAAGAATTAAAACAAGTATCTCAGTGTTCATTTTATAACTGAGATGGCCTCACTTAACTGTATTTGCCATGTTTGTCCGAATTACAGCTGTTTATCTTGCAACTTTCTTTAAGATTAATTAAATGCAAATGTAACTCTGTGAATCATGGGAATACCTGCCAGACCTCTTATTAATACCTTCACTTAAAAACCCCTGTGCCTGAGAGTCATTAATTTGCTCAAAGAAAAGTGCTAAAGCAGCCCTTTGCCCACACACAATTCTGAGATGACTGCCCAATTAGTCCAGGAGCATTCTGATCCTCCTCTTGGGCCCTGTGGCCCTTTGAGGACACAAGAAGGCTCCGATGATAACCTGGCAACCTAGGTAGAAATCCAGCCAAGTGTGAGCGTTTGAAGCTGCAGTTTGGCTGCCATCGTGTCGGCGAAAAGAAAGAATTCAGGCACCATGTCATCCAGTACAAAGGATAAAAACGGATTCAACCGGAAATTCAATGTGGCACCACATATGGGATACATGAGTGCGGTTATACAACAGGCCACATATTTTTTTTGAACAGTCTCCTACATGTGATGCCGAGGACATGTGTAACCATCATAACGTCTCTAGGAATCTGTATTTAATTTGAGTAGGGGTGGTGGCAGGGATTGGAGATCTGAAGCCGCCACAGGTTTGTGGCAGATGGCTCTGTGTCAGCTATGACAAGCAGCCAGGCTCAGCTTCCTCTGCAGATTTTCTTTTCTCTCTGATCAGGTAAATATGGGCACACTCTGGAAAGTTCTTCAGATTCTGCCTTAGGCTGCAAGTTTGTGACTTAGCCCCATCTGTCACAAATCTTCCCTAGGTTCTGTTGTAAGCAGAGACCTGAATTTACCATGTAGGGCTGCCCAAGAAAACGGAGCCATTTCACCCTGGAACAAGGGGGAGGGAGAAAAGAGAAAGAAGTGAAGAAGCATTAATGACCAAAAGACTAAAATATGCTGAAAATTTGTATTGCACATTTGCATCACTTACATCAATTATATTTCAAAAAGCTACCAAGTAAATGGTTTTCAAGTTTCAGTACCTCAGTTTCTGATTGGCTGAAAGTGTAATTATATTTCCAACCATAGGAGAAGGCTACTGATTTTCTGCAAATGAATATATTCCACTGTACATGTATTTCCTGGTTTATGTTATGGATGACAGTTATTAGAAGTTTATTATTCAACTTTTAATTTTTATAAACAGAAGAAACACAACACTTTTCATATAGTTTCTGCTAATGTGAATTCTACTTTTAAGTCATGAAGACACAAAGATAAATGCCATTACTATTATGTGAAATTTATAAAGCACTTCATGTTTACAAATGGGTTTATATTTATCATTTCATTATAAGGGTAGCTCAGGGGGAAAATGCCATTAAGATTTTTTGTCTTTTTTTTTTGAGTTGGAGTCTCACTGTCACCCAGGCTGGAGTGCAGTGGCACACTCATGGCCACCGCAGCCTTGACTTACTGGGCTCAGGCTATCCTTCCACCTCAGCCTTCCAAGTAGCTGGAACTACAGGTGTGTGCCACCATGCCTGACTAATTTTTTGATTTATTGTAGAGGCAAGGTCTTGCCAAGTTGCCCAAGGTGGTCTTGAACTCAGGGGCTCAGGCATTTCTCTCGCCTTAGTCTCCCAAAGTGCTGGGATTACAGGCGTGAGTGCCTGGCTTGCTATTAAGGTTTTTAAAAGATTCTTTTCCAGGTTTACAGATAAATCACAGAGTTCAAGAAAATCACCTAGAGTCAGGAAGCAAATGAAATTTTGCAAATGAGAAGGACAAGAAGCCAAGACCACTAACTGATCTTAATCAGTCACAATATATCTGTGATGCTCAAGGTTTTTCCTTTTATTTTATTTAGACAAAGCAAAGAAAAACCAGACCAAACAAAATTGAGGGAGGAAGTGAAGATGTGGAAGAGGAAGGGAGAAAGAGGAGAAAGGGGAGGAAGGGAAGGGTAGGTGGGAGAGATGGAGAGAGTAAGAATGAGAGATTGAGACTGATAATTTGCCTTAATTGTGCTGGTGCAGTTGAAAGATTTTAGAAGTTCTTAAAATGTCACAAACATTTCAGCTTTCATGTTTAAGGAAAAAGGACTCTGGAACAGTGTTAAAACCAGTAAGCATCACCTTACTCACATCTAGAATTTAAGCTCAAATTAAAAGGGGACTATAGAGCGACTAGTCCCTTGAAGGAAACAAAGCGACTTAGCTGTGGTTCGGGCAAATATAACTTGACATAATTAAGACAACCACAAATGTTTTTTTCTGGGCAATGAGTCTGAATTATAAGTTTAATCATTGTTTGGAATTAGTTTTAGGCAGAAATCTGAAAATTCTTCTCTCCAAATAACAGCAGGTTATAAAGGTTCTGTCAACGTTAATGAACTTGAAGAGAACAAAAATATTAGCAGCTATCTTAAGAAACAGTCACTCTCAACAAAGCAAAAGAATGACATCTCTCTTTCTCTTTTTTTAAGCCACAGAATATCACTCAATTTGTAAATGAAAGTAAATGAAAAATAGGATCCCATTAGTCTGGATGATGTCCACCTTATAAAACGCCCCTATTTGTACCTTTGTGCTATTTTCAATACTGATAACAAGGGAATAGCTATACATTTTTTCCCACAGCATTTAAAAATATAATGATCAAGTTCATCCAAAAGCATGAAATACTGATCTCAAATAATTGTTGAGACTTTTTGGTAAGTAAATTCATACAGCAAAAGTGAGGCCAAAAAAAAACCACCCAAAACCAAATAAATAAACTTCACTGTATTAATTAGACTTGCTTGGGTCAGAAAGGTAGACCTGTTGTTAGTGGAAGATGTTAATCCTTGGCTGGTTATTTCATAATTATTTCTAGAAACTTGTGTTCAAGTTAGGCATGGGAGTCATACAACGGCTCCCCATTTAATCTATGTGACAAGTATGTGTTTAATTCATCTACCTGACCTGAAAAAGGACATGGTCCTGACAGAACAAGAAGGTTACAGTCAATGATTGAATTGTAGATACATACTTTTTAAGAAGTAGTTTTAGATTTGTTTAAAATCAAGAAAATGATTTTAGGTTTTCAAAATTATTAAGAAACATTTAATTTTTGCATGTACTTGATTTCTCTAAAGAGCCTGAGAAAAATGTATGTGTATGTGTGTGTTTGTGTGTGAGAGTGAGTGAGTGAACCCTTGTATGTACACCAGGAATGTAAACATACCAGGCCTGAAACTGTTTCAGGTGAGAAGTCGCAGACATAGTGTTCTGTAGTAGAAGGAGTCACTTTAAGAAAAAAAGTAAATTCGTTTTCTGCTTTTCAGTTAGTAGCATTCTGTTTCAAATCCTGCTTCAAGTTATAGCCCCAAAACTCTCACTCATATTGAAAGTATAATGTCTCATGTGAGAAGAAAGCCAAGTGTTAGTAGCCTTATTCTAGTCATTAAATTTCTAAGTGTGAATCCATATGAAAAAATCCTATCCTAAAGTGAACTCTATATGATAAGAAGTTGAAATGATTTTAAAATGTAAACTTTTAACAAAAAAAAGAGTAAGGTGTAAAAATGTAAAAGGAACAAATTAAAGAATTTAGTGACATTCTATCCTTTTAGATCTTAGAAGCATATGTTTTATAAAAGCAAAACAGCACTGTCCAATGAAATAAAACTAAAAATAATCCCCAACATTCTTTTCACAGTACACACAAAAGATTCTCTCCCACTGCATAAGAAAAGTAGATAAAAGCTAAAATACTAATTCTTTAAGTATTTAGTAAAGGGAAATGTTACCTGGAAATGCATATATATGCTACATAAGGCAAAACATAAGGTGAAAATTTATAACAACTTTTTATATCTTTATTATAAAGTTTTAGAAGGTGTGCTTTTTTTGTTTTGGCTCTAAATTCTGTTACTACAAACAAACAAAATTTGAGGTCCTTCCTGTGTTTTTATCTCAAAACCTTGCAATATGCCAGTTTTTCCTACTAATTGTATCATCAAGCTTTTGATTACTTATAATTTTGGACTCACATTAAGTTTTGAGATTAATTTTAGACACTATCAATAAGATCTATGAGTGAAGATATATGTGAAAGTGTATTATAGATTTATAAGAGAAAAATCCATAGCAGAAAATACATACAAATGAATTATACATATAAATTCTTATAAATGCTTTTGCATGAATTACTAATTTATAAAACTTTGAGATGGAGGTTTTCATGATTTACACACTAAAAATATATGTCAGTACTAACATTCAGTAGGTCAGTGAAATAATATTTAAGGTTCAGGTTATCTTTTAAAGTATATGAGGAACCGTTTGGTATATTAACAGCATACTACTAAGCTGCCATTCATTCAGAATTTTTCCAAAAGTTGTCTGTAAAATAAATAATTATTGCTATGTTATGGTAGTAGCTGTATTAAAATATTTCAACCAGAGATCTGCTTTCTTTTCTAACTAGAGGCAACTTGTTGCAATAACTTTTGAAATGGTTAAAAATTTGCAGATGCAGAATAACATGGTTAACAAAGCCTAACCTGAAGCAACGTTAAAAACTGATAAATTTTGATGATGGAAATACAGTTGTAAATACTTCAAAAATTCACTAAAAGGAAAAAAATCAATAATTTGACTGAGAGCTCATTGAAAACAGCTTTGTGTCATATATAGAAAGTGAATCCATTTGTATTAATACGTATTCTATTGCCTCAATTTTCATAATCTGCATATTTTGACAGTCTATCACATGGGAAACCATTCAATTCACATTTTATACAAGCAAAACTGCTACTGAACTTTAAAAATTAGGAAATATTAAGGTAAACCTTGGAGGACTGTTTTCTCTCTAAGGCTTCCCAAGTATACAATACAATAGTATTGACTCAAGAAGTAATACTGAAGCCTGGAACTGTTCAGTCAGCATTTTAAACTATTATGAGCTACCTTCTGAACCATTGCCAAGTTAATAGACAATGAAAGATAATGAGCTTGAAATTGGGTGTTAAATTGCATTTTTGGTTCTCTCCTTTTTTCTTGAAGTTTAACTGTTTCCTGCAGAAACAAAGTCATGTTTTGATGTATCACTATGTAAATATGTATTTTAGGCCAAGAACAGGAAAAGGAGAGAAAAAAGGCTGAGAACTGTATTTCATGTAGAAAGTTATATATTAACATAGGAAAATTAAAATACACTGGATTATAAAACTGCTAGATTGTAAACTATACTGAATTTATGCAAAATGAAGATGCTACATTCTAAGAATATAAAAAGGTATATTACTCATGGCCTAGAGCCACCTTCAAAACTCGTAAAGTAGATTTATCCTAGTTCAATTACTTAGACTTTTAGTAGGGCCTCTTTGTGTTGTTATTTCAACAATGTAAAATTCTTAATTCGAATAAAGAAAAAAGATAATGGATGAGGGGAATGAATGATGATGTCATTTATACTATTTTCCTTTTGCCTTTGTCACCCAGGGACAAGACTGACTTTTTAATGCTAAACAAACTGAGGATTTCTATGTCATTTTATTAAACTGAACAAAGAATATACTTGATTCTTAAAAATTATGTTTAAAGTAGTTCAAAAAATGAACACCAAACTTCACTAATGTTATTCACCTGAATTTTTGAGGACTAAAGATTTCATTACGATGAGAAGAAAGACTTATTCTCATTAGTATAATGATAGAATCTTTCCTTTACTTCCTTTTAAACTAATGAGTTACATTAATCCAGGTTCATTTTTATAAGCCTCTTGGGGCTAAATGTAAAGGACAGTCATCTTAGAAAACAGTAAATTAAAAAAAAAAAAGCATGTACCATGCATTAAGTGCACGTATTTCATAAGACCTAGGTTAATACAACTGGCATCCAGTTTAATTAATCCTTGTTAGTGTAACAACTAATATCCCTCCCTAGCATGTTTCCTTTAAACATTAGTATGTTAATTAAATGTTTTCTTTTTTTTTAGAGATTTTTCTTTGTACTTCAATATGGCATTTATACCACGTAAATCTCTTCTCAATAACTACCTTATAGAGATGTTTTCTTATAATATCTGGTCTCTTGCAGAAATTCTGGAGCCTTTTTGAAAGCTGTTCAGGTGTAGAATACAGATATTCAGCTGCAGGAAAAACAGATACATTTTTAATGAAACAAAAACCTCAAAGCACACACTCGATATTAGTCACTTTACTAATTAAAAATGCATATTGCTCTGTGCCGCCTCATGTTTTACATTATTTAAGCATGATTTTATAAGGTTACCTCAGCTCACAAGGATGTTTAATGCTAAATAAGACTGTGTAGTTGTGCTGTTTAGACATCTCCTTTGGGTGATTAAAATACATTATTCTAATGTAACACAATGCATATGTGATATATTTAGTGATGAGGATTTTTTCTAAGAACTGGTACTATAGCCGTATGTACCCTGTACAACAGTTGCATAATATTAACTAGTCAATTGTTTAAACAATTTGGTGTGACTTTCAGTTTCTGATTTTTCTCTGTGTATATCGTCTAAAAAAATCTGTAAGCAATTGCAGCAACACTGACCTGCTTATAAAAATCCATCATTATGGGATGTGTATGCTAACAATGAAGAATGCTATTTGAAAACTTGCTTTTTTGTTATCTTAAAAGAACAGATGGTAAATATAAGCTTACTCTAATGTATTAAAACACATAAAATTTTCCTTAACACTAACATGTTGACTTGCCAAATAAACAATTGCTCCTGCCTAAGTTTATTTTCAAACTTTCTAATTTAGCATGAATCATGTATTAAATATCAACAAAGACGAATGCACATTAAGGCAGCTACCTGGAAATATTTCAGGATAAACCAAATCTTTGGGACAAAGTGGGTAACAACCACAGTACACAGCTTCCAACCTAAAGAAATTTTAGAAAGAGACAAGAATACATTAAAAAGACATTTCCATCATAGCCAGAAAGTGGTTTTGTTTGTCTAAGATAATAGTATGAGCCCAGAGTTAGCTAGGACAAAAACATGGTTGGCAGTACAATCTAAAAGCCAAAGTTGTTCTTTTAAAAGATTTTATCGATCATATATGAATTTCATAGAACAGAACTAACAGCATATGTTTTGTTCACTGAATTAATCAAAGCGCAGCTCTGCATTTTTTTTTTGTTTTTAAAATACTGTTTAACACATTTTATAATCAGCAGATAAACACATGTAACAACATGGTAAAGTATGGACAGCTTTTCTTAATAATGCTGCAAAGTCTTAGGATGTTCATTTTTCAACAATGTTTAAATAAAATAGCAAATACTTAACTTTAGCACTGTAGCCGTAGAAATGATTGAGTCACTTTTAAAAGCATCAGAAAAAAATTTACAATCTGTTGTAATAGGGCATTTTCATTTTAAGCTCATGCTTTAAAACAATTTGTTATTATGCAGAATGCAAAACTCTTCCCCCTTTGGTTGCAAAACTCTCATGAAGATTACTTAATGAACGTTTTGCTTTCTTGACTAAAAATTCAGCTCACTTTCCATTTTATCAGAAAAGAATACTTGCATTATTAAACAAACACAAAAGTTTCACTTTATGAGAAGATTTCCCTACGGGCCACCTATGGGAAGTTTTTCTTTGCGTCACAGTAGTAGTAAGGGTTAAGCAGCAGGAAGGTACTGCACCCCGATGGCTATGTTAGCCCTGCATAATGGCTATTGATCTGACATATAATAAACTTTAAAGATACCACTGTCATTTCTGTTGGCTAGAAATTATGTAGCGAAATTCAAAACACTCTTTAAAATATGTTTATTTTATGAGAAACCTTGAATTGCATCCAAAATGTTGACCAAAGGCGAAATTTATTTTGAACTGCAGATTTTTTTCAACCCAAGAATAATTTGAAGTCATGTCAATGTTTACCTTGTTTATTTACAGTGACAAAGTACATGCAATTTAAGCTGCTTTTGTGGGTGACATTTCTCTATTTTATTATGTTAACTGAAATTAGTTTAAATGAAAAGTATTTACTTTGACCTGCAAATTTTGGAAAAATGCTGAGTTCAAAGTTTTGCTTAAGAACTGACAGCCATCACATGATAACACAGTAGGAAGGCACAGGTTCTAGTTATCAATGATTAATTTCAGAATCCAAACTAATATCTAATATTTTTTTCTCTATATACATAAGGTACACATTGAAATTCTTATTATAAGCACAGCTACAAACTACACTGTGACTGTATTATAAAACATTAACAAAAGTTCTGAGTGCATAACCAGTGCTATTCTTTATGGACCAAAATAAAATATGCACTTTATCTGAAGACATTCAGTTTTAAAATGCTGTGCCAATTGAAAAGCAAATACATATGAACATTCTCTTATAATTACATAAAGTCAAAAGAGTAAAGTCACAGGCATTTCAGAAAGTGCACATATTATCTGCTTTTTAATAATGGATTTGAATTAGAGTATTCTGTTTCCTGAAAGGAAATCGCAGGCCAAGTTACATTTTGAGTCACCGCATGAGTATGTACCATGCGACTCACAAAAAAATCTTTGCAAATTAAAATACAGTAAGATGGGAATGGCATTATTTAATTTAGGGAGAAAAAATTACAAATTTTGGATTTCAACTTTTATTTGCAAATCATCTTACTCATGGTTCTATTTCTAATTCATCAAGAAAAAAAATCACCATCTCTTGGGTAATATTTTTGACTTGTTAAAATACTAACCCTTACTATATACATTATTTAGATCAAGACTAGGCTTTAAAGTATATTAAATTGGCTATAGTATTTTAAAACAAATTTATAAAATTCATTCTCACAAGTTTCTCATATTTTCTTATTTTAAAAAAAATTATCATCTCATGACAATAACACAATTATTCATCATTTCAATTCTTATGCACTACCAGTTAAATAATAA